CTCTCTCTCTCTCTCTCTCTCTCTCTCTCTCTCTCTCTCTCTCTCTCTCTCTCTCTCTCTCTCTCTCTCTCTCTCTCTCTCTCTCTCTCTCTCTCTCTCTCTCTCTCTCTCTCTCTCTCTCTCTCTCTCTCTCTCTCTCTCTCTCTCTCTCTCTCTCTCTCTCTCTCTCTCTCTCTCTCTCTCTCTCTCTCTCTCTCTCTCTCTCTCTCTCTCTCTCTCTCTCTCTCTCTCTCTCTCTCTCTCTCTCTCTCTCTCTCTCTCTCTCTCTCTCTCTCTCTCTCTCTCTCGATTAATACTGTAACTGCCACCAATAAATCGGCAATGATTTATATAATTATATGTATATATATATTCTCTTTGCAAATATTTTCTATAGTACGCATAATCTAAAGTATATTTACTAATAATCATCTCGCTTTATCACAATAATCACTATTGATAAAATACAAAATCGATCAAATAAAAAAATAGTTCTCTTATAGATTATTATCTAAAAATATATAGTTGTTTTAATTCTCTGTTTAGAGAACGTTTTTGCATATATATATCAATATTTCTAATTTATTATAGATTATAAAACCTAGCTCCTTTACCTACTTGTTCTCTCATATAAAATCCCTATATCACTTTTACTCTTATATTACTTCTCTCTTGCTAAAAACGGATGTGTTACGTATCCTGTAAACTTGGCTACGGCAATTTATCTCATAGTAACTATTTACATAACAATTAATAATAATTATTAATAAGTAGACTAGATTGCATCTAATCTTCAACTACTATCCCTCAAGGACTGATTTGGTTTCGCTCTGTGAGCAGAATCGCTGTCGAGTGACTCTGATTCTTTCCCACTTGAACTAGCTGTTGGTCGGCCGTACTTGTCGAAAATACGGCCAAGATCGACGTTTACGTAATCGGATCTCCTGTTGTCGGAATTCACTGCCGACCATGTCTCGTCGCGTTTAACAGGATTAATAAAATATATTTTATTGACGCTCCTTTCTGCCTCGTTATTAAGGTGCTCTTCACCATTTTCACAATTTTCTTTAGCGATTTTCATGAGATTGTAGCGGGTAACGTTGTATTCCCTCGGGGTGTCGTACGTAATCGAAGATTCCTTTGACTGGCAAATCTCTTGGCCGGATGCGGCGGAGCTGCAAGCCTTCAAGTGCTTCGGCGAGTTTTGTTTGCGCCCGGAAAGAAGGATACTGTCGACGGTCATGAAGGGCATCTCGAAGCACAAACTCCACAGCGCGGAGAACATCATCGTGAATACTAAATTGGCGAAGAACGAGCGCATCTGATAAACGAGAGATTTTATTCACACCGTTATCCCTTTTCATAATCACATTTGCGCTTTCATTTAATTACGTTCGTATAACATCACGCACGTAAGAGGACTATTAATATCTCTTGTCCGTACATAAACTCTCTTAAGATAAATTGCAGCAGTATGCGACGTAACGGCAGACTTTAAAAGTTTGCACACGGTTTCACTGTAGAACTAAATGATAAGTAAATATCATTAATATCACGCTGTATGAAGAGATAAATGTTATAATATCTGTATTTTCACGACCCAGTAACATTGCTTAACCGGTACGTTGCTCACCGACTGCTCTTTATTACCTTTAACGCGATATTTTAAGAATGCCTTTATCTTTCTTACTCACCACGTCCATCTGTGTTAAACTGCCGGTAGTTCGAACGGCTCCGCTGTGTGATAGTATGAACAGATAGTGAGAGAGATAAGCGCAGTAGGTCAATTTGCTGAGCGGTATCCATCCACGCCACGAAAGTAAATAATTGATGGGACCTTGAAACGATTATCACTTTTAGAGACTGGCGTTGACGTAATCGGGTTTAGTAATCATCTCGCGAGCGCGCGCAATCATTTACCTGCGTATCCGTGCATACAGCAGAAGACAATCCAGGAGACGGAGAGTACAAAAACCTGGCGATGGAAGGCGGCGTAGAAGCTCGCTTCCAGCCTGTTGTAGACGTGAGTGTCGAAGTACATGCCTCGCGGCCCGAAAATCACCGATAAACCAGCCATGACCGCGAGCAGCCAGCCGAGAAACACGTACCACTGCGATTTGCGAAAGCATTTCAGCGACTTTACAGCGGTTTATCTCTTCAAATTGAAGATATTCCAAACATGTATATCATTTTTATCAAAATATTAACACAAAGTGCGTGATACAAAATAATTCGGGGTTGGGAAGTAACTCGTTACTTGTAACGAAGCTACAGTTACAGTTACTTTTTTTTTAGTAACTCTAACTTAACTTCGTTACTTTCTCTCCATCTGCAACTGTAACTTAACTCAGTTACATTAATATTTACTTTATATATATTTGAAACCTCCACAGATCGCGTTAGGCCTTGCATTTGCGCGTAAACGCCTTTATCGACGCTTTACGATTCAGACGCAGATTTGCTATTTTTATTTTCATTGCAAGAAAGTAACTGCAAGGTAACAATTCGTTACTTTTCGAGTAACTGTGAGTAGTTACGTTTTTAGCGAAAAAACTGTAACTAGATACTTTAATAAACTGTAACTGTAACTAGATACTTTTTTAAAGTAACTTTCCCAACTATGCAAAATATTAATATGAAGTACATTGTAGCAAAGATATTTCAGGCTTGATCTTATCGATTATCATAAGATAGAAACAAACATTGAGAGTATTGTACTAAACATTATTGTGTAAATGGTACTTACAGCATGTAACTTGACTTTATAAGATCGCGTCTTATATAACAAGTATCCAAGGCCCAGTCCAATGACGTAAGGTCCAAATCTATTGTATGTCTTTATGTAGACTTCCAGATAAACCTGGGTTACGTCCATCTGTCTACGAAATACAACATCCTGTTGAGATCACGAAATTACTAAAATCCGGCAATCAAGAAATTTCGTGCAATTTCCTTGCGATTTCCATAGAAATAAACATCACTTAAAGCGAAGTAGTCTTGCACGATCTTTCGTAGTTGCTTCATAATTAATTCTCAAAGACTTGCGTGATATAAAAAGACCCACAGAGTGGATCTACATCGACAGACTGCAACAATTTAAATGCTGAACTAAATGGAAGATGATCCAAATGTAAAACTCGGGATTTAATTCAAATTAAATAAGCCGGTTACATTTGGATCTAGATTCCTGAGAGATAGATTTTCTAAGATATTCAAATTGAAACTCTTTGAGTGAAATATTTTCTAAGCGAAAGCGCGCAGTTGAAACTCTACACTCACTCCTTGTAATAGAGCATGGTGCCCGTTAGTCGGAGACTGTAAGTTGTAATGAAGGGCACTAGGACCGAAAGAAACAAGCAGACGGCCAAAACAATGGCTAAGAACAGACTCCTAAACTTGAGCATAGGATACAGCACAAGCGGCGACAGCCAAACAAACTGCATGTCGGTCGATAGATACCAGGATTGGGACATGCACTAGAAGCAAACGTAAAAGAAAAGAGTGATATCTTCGCAAAAGTACACGAATCAGAAAAAATTTCGAAAGCGCAGAAACAGCACTTACAAGAAAGATACAGTAAGTCCAAATTAAAGAAATAAAACCAATAAAGTGTAATAAGGATATTACGATTTAAAAAAAAACATATGCGGCATTCGTATAGACTTCGAGATGTCGTATCTGCTACTTGTACTGCATACAAAATAATTGTTAACTGCACGTTCGACACACGATTGCTGTACATATTTCTCATTTGCTGCAACGACATGATTCAAAACCAGTTCCATTTCCAATTGTTTGCAAAAGAATGGTAAGAATTCGGTACACTGAATGAAGAGCTAATAATGCCTATATACGGATACTTTTATTCCCTTACAGTCAGTTACAAGATCGCGTTTAAAAATGATATAAAATCTTTATGATTACAATCCATTTTTCTGGACAATTTTATCTTTCGAGTTATGCCGCTGTCGTAGCAAATGAGCGATTCAGTACGCAAAGATATACGAGGGTGTAAAGGAGTAAATTAAAGAGCTAGTCTACCATGTTCGGTACGTTGACATAGTTGTTAACATAGAGCAAGTTGGTCCACCAATTCTCGCGACAGTAGTCTTTGTTAGTACCGACCCAGGCGTCCCAATGCGGGCCTGTGCCGAATTTGTAGAACAGAGTGGCATAAAAACCGATCATCATCGCGTAGGCCGGTGTTAATCTGACAAAAGGAGAAACGATCAATGGTGCCGGAAGATTTTTAAAAAATGAGAAAAAAAGATTGACTTGAGGGGGAAGTAAAAATTACAAATTATACGATTTCTTTGAACAGTGCGTGCGTAAATCGACGAGTATAATTTGTGGACGTAATAGAGCACATTGTAATTGAATTTCAAACTTAAATTGCCGAAGTGATTGGGAGAAAAGCCAGTTCGGCTGCGTACACATATACGTACCTTACATAACGATGAACGTAGAGTCCTATCATGTCGAAACGCCACTTTAAGGCCCGTTCCTTCTTCGACAGTTCGGTGTAAGCGAGTAGGAGCCCACTCAAAAGGAAGAAAGTATCCGTAACAATGTTGCCGTTGAGCACCAGCATGTTGTTCCAATCGTGATGCATCTTTTTGAGGATAAGAACGATTTTTAAGGCGCAAAATTTAGGCCCGGTTTCACCAACGTCGCTTAACTTTAAGCTTAGTTCAATTCGTTCCTTGTCTCTTTTCAACTGTTACTTTAGAAAGAGACAAAGAACGAATTAAGCTAAGCTTAAAGTTAAACAACGTTGGTGAAACCGGGCCTTGGAGAATTAAGAGAGAACAGCAATGGCGACTTCTAACAATGTTTATACAACGCGAAGGATGCGTTGGATAAGTTTGATAAGCTGCGAAAATAGGAAAACGCGCAGTGCACTTCCAGTAAATTCTCACGTGAAGTTGTATGAAACGAAAATTGCATAGCTTACACGTGGGATGTGCGTGAGGTCCATTTTGACGCCGACGACCTCCATGTAATAAGTATGACCGTAAATAATCCAGCATATGCTGATGAAACGCAATCCGTCTAGGCAGCGGATAGATCCCGGACGTCTGTCAGTCCGTAACAGCTCTTTTCCATTCTTGTACAAAGAAAACGCCGTAAAAATACCTGCGCGAGAAATTATCAGGATCATTATTTCTATCAGTTCATCCGGCGCCCCGGATGGCATCCCCGGGGAAACAATGGAAATATCTCATTACATATGCCTCAATCGTGTAGTATCTAATTATATCCGATTCCAAAATCGTCAGATCTTCAGAGATCTGGCACTTTTATTGAATATTCAATGTTATTATCTATCGTGATCTAATTATGTTCTCTTAGGACATTTGATTATAGATTTAGTGAGATCTCAATAGGTAACCTCGAACATTCAATAGGAAAGTGTCAAATCTCTGAAGAGCTGATGATTTTTAGAATTGTATCTTATGAGATATAGAGCAGTATATACTCTTAAAGTCGCCAGTGATGAATAAAATTGAAATAAAACACCGAACTGCGAATCAACATGTCACAATTTTTTTTAAGATGGTGAGAAATTACAAATTACAATTACTCTTACCGCCTTTAAAAACTTGTGACATGTTGGTTTGCAGTTCGGTTACTTGATAAGGACCTGATACTTGGGTCGAAACGTCGTATCCGAGGGGGAAACCGCTGACCAAAATCTTGTACACCAATGCCCACTAATGCCCAGTGGGCATTACTTTATCTTATTATCTTCTTTTATCGTATTTATCTTGTTTTATCTTATTTTATCTTACTGTACCTTATTTTATTTTATTTTATCTTTATAATGCCCCAAAAAAATGTCCTAGTAATGCCCAGTAATGCCGCAAATATGTACACCACAATGCCCTCAGCGGTTTCCCCCTCGGTCGTATCAAATGTAACATGTTGGATCAACAAGAAGTTTTATTTCAATATTATGATATTATGATATAAGAGATTTTTTTCCCGGGATTGTCCTCATTAAGAAAAAAAGCATTTATATGTAAGAAACATGGAATGCAGATTGATCTTGTACATTGTATAGTGTATACACCAGGCATTCTTATTAATATTATTAATCAGTAATCAATCAATAACGTTATTTGAAATTAGGTGTAATTAATGTCTAAAATTGATTTGCAAAACTCAGTACGCCTTTATTGACTTAAATTTACCAACCTCCCAGCGAGAAATGACTCGTCGATCGATGTCGTCAAATTGGCACCGTTTCGGCATCGATCGACGAATCACTTCTCACTGGGTTGCACGAAATATAAGAGAAGTGTTTAAAAGTCTTGACTAAATCCGACGAATGGATATTTCGTGCTTTCATATCCTACCTCTCGATTGCGACGCGCTGGCACGTTGCATCGCAATGTCGTACCCCGTGCTGGCTATAATGATCAACGCGAGCAGCACAAGAATTGATCTGAAGTTTTCGAACGTTGCAAAAATTAGGCATTTGCTATTGCGGAGAGAAATAAGCGTTCATATAACAATAAGAAAGCGTCATTTACGTATAACACCAATCGGCAACGTCCCAGGTTGTTCGTACGGTCTCCACGGTGCGACACGATTGCTTAAAAACGTTGATAGTCATGTCCACACGCCCTTCGACTTTCAAAGGGTCGAGCGCGAGCTCGAGAGCCTCCTGTATTTCCGTGTGATTGCAGGTAGACGGGACGCAAAACATCCACTCGTATATGATCGAATTACCGGAGGTCCAATTCGTCGCATTCTACACAAGATACCAATGTTTTAGTCCTCCGAGCAGCGTAAACTCGCGCTTGGAGGCATTTTATTGTTTAAAAATATTCCGGAGAGATTGCATGGAGCTGTCGTCTCTTATGAAATATTCATTGAATAAATAAAGTTTTTACTCGTACTCCGTATTAGTATCGTAAACGTGTGCCCGTGCGAATAAATAAAATCTCGTATTATTACGATTACAAATATGTCTACGTGGGTTTAAAAATTAAGAACAATATTTATTCTTATACTTGATTATCTTTTGTACATCAATTTATTTGCGTGCCCGGGCGACAAGGACTAAATTTATTAAAATACTCAAGGATTAGATCGACCAAGGCTGGCAGTTTTGTTTTATTTTAAATTTTACCACGACGTTTCGGCCAGTAATACTGGTCCTTTTCAAGTGGATCCTATAGCTTGTGACAACGAAGCATAGGGAAATATAAAATTAGGCTAATCGTCATCGCACATAGAAATATACGCCTTCGCACGTGTCATGTCACCAAGAGACTAGCCTAATTTTATATTTTCCTATGCTTCGTTGTCACAAGCTATAGGATCCGCTTGAAAAGGACCAGTATTACTGGCCGAAACGTCGTGGTAAAATTTAAAATAAAATAAAACTGCCAGCCTTGGTCGATCTAATCCTTGAGTATTTTGTTTTAATTACTGGCGATACAACAATTCTAAATTTGACTAAATTTATGTTCGTTCACTGCATAAGTTGTTGCGCATTAAACCACGGTAATTGCAATAATTACGAACTCACCGACGCGATGGCGACGTTCACGAGCAAGTCCCCCAGGTCCAATTCGCTTCGTCGTGTACCGTCGTCCGCGCCGATCTCGAATTGCACCTCCGCGTTGCAAGCCTGCCCGATGAACCCGTGTTCGTTCTTCACTCGCAAGCATTCATCAAAATTACCCAGCTGTTTGGAATTGCCGGTGATCAGGCCCGAAGGTACTTTAACCGAGGCGTCGAACACTGGAACGACAAACAACGTCGAGTCTCCGTTTAATAGAGCGTCTTTCCACTCTCGAATCAAGATCCGAGTCATTGTTGCGCGGCGACTATATTTTGCTCTCCAAAATTTCCGGAGGACCCTCCAGGAAAATGCGCCACGCGCATGCAAATGCACGGTTGATTAAGATTTAAAAAAAAACCGTGGAATTGATTGCGATATTCTTCGACTGACTAACTGTGAATCAGTGTCTGTTCACTGTTTTCAGTGATAATCCACTGATTGACTTTTAGAGAGAGTCGGCACGTTACTTTGCGAAGCTCGTTACTACGAATCTGTTATCGATGCGTCACATTGTTGCGTTTTTTTCCGGACATTTACGGCATTCCGGCTTTGACATTTAACAATTGCGCCCTTCCCCTCAGCTTCGTTCTATAATAAACACATTCTGAAACCGGTTGAAACAGACGAGCGGGTATAGTCAAGGCGTTCTTCTGTCCTCAATCCGCGCCACAATCAGCGCCAGCGTCATTTTTTCACATTACCCTTCGAATATCCGGAATCAGTACCCAATCAGAGAGTAATAATCGCCGGGGACTGATATCGACTAACGCAAACGGTATAAATAATCTTGAATCCTTGCACTCACTTGGGCACTTTCTAAAAGTCAATCAGTGCAGATTATCACTGAAAAGAGTGAACAGTCACTGGTTTACAAATCGCAGTGGTATACCTCATAACTGTAAATCAGCGACTATTCACTGTTACGCGGGAAAAAATCATGTTCGCTACCGCAGCTAATCATGATTTGCTAAAAATATTTTGCTGCATTAACTATAAATTTCTAAACCACAGCAAACTGTTTGCTATCGCATCTAATACAATAGACGCGGTGGCAAAGCAATGGCTATCACAACTAAATATTAGCCGTATTTTACAACTAAAACTTAGTTACCACATGCAGTTTTTAGCTACAGCAGCTACATGTTTTTTCAGTATCAGCGACAAATCGATTAACTTTTCGAGAGCAAGTTTCATTTGACGCGGAATCTGCAATGTCGCTACCTGTTATTTTCCTGTGATAGACGAACTGAAGGAAAGAAGTACAAAAAAGCATTTAAAGTTTGCTATAAAAATTATATTTTATTTGTAAAGAGCAAGTTTGTTCACAAGCAGTAAATATAAATTGTTATGCAGGATGATTTAAAAGGTTGACAATATTTGCGAAACGTTGCTGGTCGATTTTGCAAATTTATGTTCATGCAATATCCCTACGACGCAACGTAGCTGCAAGCTTCTGTGCTGTATGGGTAACGTGTAATTATTTTCGGAATTAAGATTCATCGATCGCCTTTATCTTTGTACATTTCCTCATTTCTTCCCTAATGAGTGAGACAGGTAGGCTTGTGAAGAACTTTATGTCTTACGAGAAAGGAAATAGCGTATGACTGATCAAATTCCACGATGGGATATACTCGGCGAGGGACAAGCAGCGCGTTGTTCAAAGTCACGTTCAATTCTAGGAGGACGGCGATAAACTAATCCGACCGCGAGCTAATCTGCCGGGAACTCGCGCGTGTTATTCTATAATTTGTATTATTAGTCATCTGTGTATGCACCGGCATGCGAGTTACGTTATTCGAGATGGGATTTCAAGGTGACACCTTGGAACCGCGATCGCGCGGTGACGCGAGGCAACGTCAATGTCGCGAGTGCGTTAACTGCGGAAGTGCATATCGGCGCGATACGGCGCCGACACGCGGAATCGGCCGATCGGGTCGGGAATCACGCGTCGCAGAAGCGGGTCGACCTGAAGGAAAATAAACGATAGCGAGCGCTTTCAATTTTTAATTTCCAAACGACAGCGATAGCGAACGCGCTTATGCGGATCGCACGATGTCGGCAATCGATAGCACAGTAGTCGGGGTCTAAGGCTAATATTACATTTGTCGTACGACAAATTTTTCAAGCGAGTTGATTGGCTGCTAAATAGAAAATTTCTAGATGCTCGAGAAGTTTACTATCCCGCAGTCAATCAACACGCTTGAAAAATTTGCCGCACGACAAATGTAATACTAGCCTTAGGAGAGTACATTTGTCGTGCGACAAATTTTTTAAGTCGTGTCGATTGGCTGCAGAATAGAACATTTTTAGAGACTCAACAACTTTTCTATTCTGCAGCCAATCGACACGCGTGAAAACTTTATCGTACGACAAACGTACTCTCTAAGTCTAATATTACATTTGTCGTAGGACAAATTTTTCAAGCGTGTCGATTGGCTGCAGGATAGTAAAATTTTCGAGTATCTAGAAATTTTCTATTCACCAGCCAATCAACACGCTTGAAAAATTTATCGTACGACAAATGTAATATTAGCCTAAAAGTCAATCAGTGCATTATTACTGAATACAATTATAAGTGTTAGCCCTGAATAATTCAGTGCTATATTTATAACTGCGAATCGGTGAATATTCATAGTTTTCAGTGATAATCCACTGATTGACTTTTAGAGAGTGATATTAGGCTAACGTAGTAATTCTAACGTGGGTCAGAACGTATCGAATCAAAGAGGTCCGTTAATGCCGTAACGTAAATCGTTTCAATTGTCTCTAAAAGCCCTTTCGTAAGTAGAGAAGTCCGCTAACGTGCTTACGAGACCCTCCTTTCTCTCTCCCCGCCCTCCCCCCCCCCTACACGTGCTCAACCGATCCGACTCTTATCGCTGTACAAACAATAGTTGTGGAATCGCGCGAGCTAGTCGGATCGGCGATTAAGTGACGTTACAGGCCAGGAAAAGATCGATCGAACGAACGATCGATCGGAGGCAGGCCCCTGATACACAAGGACGGTCATCGGCCTCGTGGATGCATCTCGCTGACCCAGTTTGGTCCCGCGCGTACGACGCACATACCAATTACATCGGTCAATATTATTGTTTCTGCGCGAATGTACACGCGGTAGGTCGTTAATTGCCTTTTCCTTAACAGCACGCTCGAGGGGGAAACCGCTGAGGGCATTGTGGTGTACAGATTTGCGACATTACTGGGCATTACTAGGGCATTTTTGGGGCATTACGTCTTGCTGAGGCATTCTAAAGATAAAATAAGATAAAAAAGATGAAAGAAAATAAATAAGATAAAAGAAGATAATAAGATAAAGTAATGCCCACTGGGCATTTGGTGTACAAGATTTTGGTCAGCGGTTTCCCCCTCGAGCACGCTGTTACAAAGCTTAGCGATACCCGCGAGCGATCGCCGAATCGGAAAGGACCAATTTGTCAAGTACAATTATCAGATTATTTTTATTTTTAAAAAATAGGAGAAACGCCCCATAATAGGCAGAGCAATTACTATAGTTTGTTATACGCGCGTATATATTTTCCCCGAGGTAATCGTTAATTTTTGTGATATGCTTAATTGTTTTAACCAATTAATTTGCCCGCGATACCGGAAATAACGGATAAAAAAGAGTAACAAGATTTATAATTGCAATTACTAATCATTTTTTAATTATTAGCTAATCCGCACTCTCTCTCTCTCTCTCTCTCTCTCTCTCTCTCTCTCTCTCTCTCTCTCTCTCTCTCTCT